ATCTAGAGATTGGTAAGGAAATACAGGATATGAACAACAATTTAAGCCAACTAGACCTAACAGATATATACAGACATTGCACAAACCACAGAAGACTACAGATTCTTCTCAAGTACACATGAAACATTCTCCAGGAGAGCCTATGCACTGGGCCACAAAACAAATCTCAATAAATTTTAAAAGACTGGAATCACAAAAGTATCTTTTCCAACCATAGGCCATAAAGCTAGGAATCAATAATAGACAGAAACCTGGAAAATTCACAAACATTTGGAAATAAACAGACTTTTAAATAACCTGTGAATAAAAAAATAAATCACAAGGGAAATTAGAGATAAAAAAAACAAAGACACAACCTATTAAAACTTATGGGATGTAAGGAAGGCTATGCTCAGAGGGAAATTTATAATGCAAATGCCTATATTAACAAAATCAATAACCTACCTTTATACCTCAAAGAACTAGGAAAAGAAGAAAAACAGTAAACCTGGAGCTTTCAGAGGAAGTAAATCATAAATATTCAAGTGGAGAAGAATAAAGAATAGAAAAAGAATTGGAGAATAATAAAACAAAAGTTGGTCCATTCAAAGATCAACAAAATTGACATTTTAGCTAGACTGAAATAGAAAAAAGGGAGGAGATCCAAATATTAATATTAGAATTAAAATGGGATTATTATTGACTTTACAGAAAGAAAATGAATTATAAATGATATGTACAAACTAGATAACCTAGATGAAGTATAAAAATACCTAGAAACACAATAATTGCCTAACAAACTGAAGATGGAACAGAAAATCTCAATCTCCACATAACAAGTAAAGAGATTGAAGCAGTAATCAAAAATTTCCCAACAAAAAGAATTTAGGACCAGATGGCTTTTCCCTTGAGTTCTACCCAACACTTAAACAATTAATATCAATGCTTCTTAATCTCTTCTAAGAAATAAACAATGAACCAAGACTTTCTAACTCATTTAATGAGGCCAGAATTAGCCTGATACTGAAACAAGACAAAAGCACAACAAAAGAAAATCATGGACCAATAGCCCTTATGAAGAGAGATGAAAAATTCCTCAGTAAAATATTAGCAAGCCATATCCAACAGAATATCATGACCAATTGAGATTTATTCCAGGAATGCAAAGGTGAAAAAAATTCCATGATCATCTTGGTTGATGAAGAAAAGGCATTTGTAAAATCTGACATAATTTCTTAATTAAAAAAAAATCCAGAAAACTAGTAAAAGAATGGAACTTCTTCAGCATGATAAAGGGCATTTATGAAAAACCACAGCTAGGCACCTGATTCAACTATAAGCCATTCACAACAGGCATACTTCTGGGGGAAAGACTGAAAGTTTTCTTCTCTAAGATCAGAAAAAAGACAAGGTTGCCTACTTTTATTACTGCTATTGTATTGGAAGATTTATCCAGAGTAATTAGATAAGAAAAGACAATATAAGGCATCTATTCATAAATGACAAGGTCGGATGTATAGAAAACCCCAAAGAATCCAAATGAAAGCTCCCAGGACTAATAAGTGAATTCAGCAAAGTTGCAGCATATAACATTCTCACTCAAAACTCTGTGTTTCTATGCAGTTGCAATGAAAAATCTGAAAAGGAAATTAAGAAAAAAAATCCATTAAATTACATCAAAAGGTAAAAGATTTGTATACTGTAAACTACAAACCATTGTTGAAATACATTAATGGAATATCATCCCATGTTTATGGGTAGAAAAACTTTAAATTGTTATGGTGTTAATTTTACGCAAAGTTATCGCCAGATTCAATTCAACTCATTTCAAGTGAATTATGGCCATATGACTCTATCTTGTAAAAATAAGTGGAAAAATAAAGACTGAGAGTAAGAGAAAGCAAAAGAGGAAGAGTGGGAGGAAAGGTACGGAAGGACAATGATAGGAAAAACTAGATATCTACATAAATTCTTTTCCCCAGTCAGAGTCTCATCCACCTTATTCCAGAATATCATTACTTTGTTAATAAATCAATTAGATGAGGTTAACTTTATAGGACACATTCATTCATTGGTGATCACAACTAAGAACATATTCTTTTCTATAACTGAGCAGACTATTGGGCTAAAATACAGATGTTGTGTTGGCACATATCAGGATAATTCTTAAATGTGAAAAAAACTCACAATTCTCTCATTCAACCCAAAGAACTTGCAGGCTGAGTCTGATATTTAAGTAGCTTCTATCATTTTAATAATTCTATTGGCCTCAGGAATTGTACCTCTGTAACAAGGAAAAGTGTTCTTAAAGTTTCTTCTTCTTACAAACTCTGAGACTCTGGGAAAATTAACCCATTTTGTGCCTCAGTTTTTTTCATCTACATATTGAGAAATGAAATAAGATGTTCACTGGCAAACAGCAGGCTTTTAATATGTGTCAGTTCTTAGTATATATATATGTGCTAATCCCTTATTTTTAAAATTGCTTACTTTTTTCTTTCCAAAGAAACGAACCTTGAAACAAAATGCCCAAAATTGAAGAGGACAGATGTAAAAGAATCAAGAAATGTAAAATACTTTGACTAGCAGGTCAGAAGGGAACAAGGACATTTTATAATGAAGGTAGTGCAGAAAAGTGGTTGAAAGTTTTTGTTTTTGAAATCAGAATGGTATGACACTGAGGGCTAGATGCATGGCTCAAGCAGGAGAGCACCCACCTAGCAAGCATGGCAAGCCCTAAATTCCAAACCCCAGTACTGCCAAAAAAAAGGAAGAATAAGACATTGTACCTCAAATTTTCTAATTACTGCAATATGACTTTAAGCAAGTTACTTAGCCTCTCTGACTCCCCACCCCCGGTTTCCTCACCAGTAAATATTTACTATAATAATTAAACAATTCTTCTTTGTGAGGATTAAACTAGATATTTAATGTGCTTAGCAGAGTGTGTCAATATATGATAGCTTGAAAATATTTTGAGTTCCTGCAGTGTATCCACACTGACATTTACAAGAAAGGATAAAAACAAATAGTTTATACCATGACCCAGCCTTCTAAATGCTTCCAAGCAGGTTGGGTAGGCCAAACAAGCAGATACACAATACACAATACAAGATAACTAAGGTTTAAATTTTCAAGTTCATCCTGTTAAAATGTGATGATATTCCAAAGTAAATTGAAAGAATGCTAAAATGACATTTATCTTTTACTTGTTTTTATACCTTTACCATTCATTTTCTATTTATCTTGTATACAAGAATTCTTGGCAATTTTTCATCCTGAATTGGATGATTGTAAAGGAACTACTTCTTTGTAGAGAGAGAGGAAAAGCAAACATATAAAATTTCTCATGACTTGCTGCTACCTTATGTAATTTATTTCTTACTAGCAGAAAATATATCTGTTATAGAATAGAATTACATCATCAAGAGAGAGAAAGACTTGATTTTGTTTTGTTTTGAGTAACCCAAAGACAAAACAAAAATCAAGCAGAGTAAGAAGTGACTGTGGAGAACTCACCTGGGCAGATTCTAAACTAGAAGACTTTAAGTATTTCAAAACTATCAACTAAAAGTTGTTCGGTAATTTGGTGGTGCCTATGAATCCATGTCTGCAACATTTTAAAAAATATTTTTAAATTAGAATGAGAAAAATTAGCTCTGTTTCAAAAAATCTCACCTTACATCTCTTTTACCAAAAGATCTTGCCTGGGGACTTATATATCTATTTTGCCCAAGTTTTCTTTGCTCATTTCAAGAATCCAAAGGTATAGAGTTTAAAGATATGGTGCTCAAGTGTAGACAGAACTTGTGTTTTTACTAGCAGTCTTTGAGAGGAAGCTTCAAGCCAAATTCCTCTTCATTCAGATCCTACTTTATGGTTGGGTACAGAGCCAACTAAGGGATTGCCTACACTGGGTTGCTCAGACTTTGTCGAGTAAAGAGAAACAAATTTTCATAGGTAAAAGCAGCAAGTAATTAGATGATTCAAGGTAGTATTTTCTTATCTCAGAAAGAATTTAGGGGAAAACTTCATGAAGTGAGTAAACCTATTCCCCAGAAAAACATGAAGCAGAGAACCATTAGATAGTGATTTACCTGTTGATGAAAGGCAAGAGGAAAAGAAAGCTAGGATCAGCTAGTCCCTGGGTCTCTGGAAGGAAAAGTGACTCTCACTCTGTTCAAAGCACATCTCAAATGTGATAATCCATCAAATCCTAGTCCCACTAAAATGTGATAATCTTTGCTTTCTTTCACACTTACTCAGGCAACATAATAGACATTAAATGACATTTCTGTTTGTATTTATGTCTTAAAATAAGTTAATTTTCTTTGTTTTTGTATTTCTGTATATCATTTTCATTAGCAATCAGAATATATAAAGAAGTGGGGTATACTCAGAGGTGTCAAAGTAAATGAAAGTAACCCACTGACTTAAAATGTATCACACAAAAGGAGGTGGACAATTCTGACCCATCTATAATCCAAATTGCAGCTCTATTTTGACCTCAGGGCCCAGGTTATTTCATTACCATGGAGTATCCCCTATTGATGTCTAAAACATGGACTAAGGTCAAAGAAAGTCACTCACACAAAGGGTTATATTAAGTTATACTAATAAACTCTGAAATGGTCTTAGCTTATATTTTCCAATTCAAAACTCTTCAGGGTAAGTTACCATTGTTTTTCTGTCATCATCCATAGTACTACTGGGAATGTTATCATTATGCACCTCTGGGCAAATTTTTTTGCAATTTCACCATCATGTTCATTTTATTTACATCTCTAACCATTTGCACAGATGTTGATGGAGCTGTATTATTGCTTCAATGTCGATTGCAATATTCTTATTGCATTCTGCAGGTCCTCCAGTAAACGTTACTTGCAATATTTTTATCAACAGTTTTGGATCAGTCACAGAAACCACCATGGTAAGTGCTACAGTGCCACTGGCAAGAGAAAAACATGACTCAATTATGCCATGAACACAACCTGTCAAATTTTCTATTGTTCAACTTGCAGGGCCTCCTGTAAATGTTACGTGCAACATATTTATCAACAGCTTTGGGTCAATAGCAGAAACTACAATGGTGAGTGGGACTGAGCATTGAAGCCATCGTGTAAAGGAATGGGATATGGAATCAAAGATCACTGTTGCATATTTGTGCAACATTTACTGAGTGCCAATTTCAGAGAACTTCATTCTCCTCTAAAAAACAGTAAAACAGTAATTCATATGCCTTCATTTTGCAAAGTCATTTGTCAAGTGATCATTACATGAGAAAAATTGAAGATATTTGACTTTTGGTTAGCTTTTGATAGAATTTTTAGCAAGAAGTTGACAATTTAAATATGTGCATCTCTAACATCTCATACGTGTAAATTTCAAAGTTAAAGAGATGATTGTTTTGGCCATTCTTTTACAGATAATGGAAGTTTTAACATAGTCACACCTCCCTATGATGCACATTTAAGATCTAAGCCAATGGGCTGAATTTTAAGAATATACATATATATATATATATTCACACATGCACACATATTTTTGTTGAAAATAGAAAGTTGATTAAAAAAATAGAAAGCTGTACCTAATTCATAGCAATTATATCATATGCACAGCTTTAAAACCATAAACATGAAACTGATTAAAAGCTCATTGTATGTTATGTGCAAGCATGTTTTATGCATTTGAAAAAGATTCCAGATATTATAAATCTACCAAGACTCCTTGTAATTATCATAATCTTATTGCCTATGACATAGACTACTAGATCATTAGCTTTACCTCACACAATACTAGACTATAGCATGGTGATTGCAGTCTTGAAATATTTTCTTGACATCCTTATGATTTATTTTAAATCCTTACTCAATTGATTGGTTTGACTTCACATGGCTATGTAAATTATATAGCCATATTGTTGGATGAGCCCAAAACAAAAGATAGTTAAGCTTGACCAAGTATTGTGGTCACTGATGTCCTACAAATACTCAAAAACTGAAAAAAATGAGAGTGCCATTGAGAAATTAAAAATATGGTTCACCTTTTTTAAATGAATTTTTCTCTTTTAAGCTACTAGGATCATGTTTAATAAATAATTGTACTTTGTGATGCCCTTATTGCTAGGAAGAATTAATTTATCATTTCCTACTTTTTCACTGGCAAAATTAAACATAATATATATCCACTACCCATTTTAATATTGCCCTGAAACAGCATTGGCTAGAAACAAGACTTCTGGGACTTTGGCAGGATATAGTGCACTAAAATTTTTACCTAAATCAGACAGTTATAGTAGGGTTATAAATGACTCATAAGGAAAACTAAGCATGGAAAGAATAATCCAACTCTGGGCTTGGCATCCAGTTTCTGTCTCTTCCCACTCTTGATTTTGTTCTTATTAGAGGGGAAACGTTTCCAGTAGCCTAAATCACTGTCACCAGCTTTACACGATGGCCTTCAATGACAATATTTGCACGACCTAATGCTGATTGCATTAATTAGATTCCTGAATTGCTTTGATTAAATCTCCTCAATGCATCTTACTCTCAATCAAAAATGTAAATGTGCACCTTTTCAGTGTTTATGAATGCAAGAATAAGCTAAACATTTAAGGACATGAAAATGGAAGCTACAGATATCCCATTTTCTTCTGTCTTTAAGAGTTACAGAAGGAGGTAAACAGGCATTGAGGCATTTCCTGACCACTTAATAAGTGGACTTTGTCCTATTTCTTACCAAAACATTTGGAATCTGTTGCTCAAGGGTCACATCAACACCCTGTCTATTCCACTGTGTGAGATAGATTGAAATGCATGTTCAGAAGAGTGATGTATATTGTGCTTCTTTTATTTTATTTCTTAGCTTTTGATATAATGACAAGCTTCTTTTGGTTTTGAAAAAAATATATTTTATTTTCTTTACTTATGACTTTAGTGTAGAACTACAATCTTTTTCTAAAATCTATCATGCTTATATCAAAGAAGAACCTCTCATGCCACCTAGGGTAGATATTGGAAAATACTTAAGACTGAGAGCCAGATAGTCCTGTCACAACTACTCAATTCTGCCCTTTTGGCATGAAAATAGACATAAATAATAGTAAGTAAGTAAATGTGGATGTGCTCCAATAAAACTTTATTTGAAAAAATAGGCCATGGTCAGATTTGCCAACTCCAGATTTAAGGTATCAGTATGTAAATGAATAGTATTCAGGTGCTCATAAGGATGTGACAATTGTTCCATTAAGGAAGGGTTTTGGCTTTCAAGATAGCTCAGGCCCTCCCTAGGAATCCACCTAAAGCACCCTGTCTTAATCAGTCTGCAAAGCAAAGTAACATGAATTGGGTACCTTATAAACAACAGTAATTTACTTCTCACTATTTGGAAGGCTGGAAGTTCAAGATCAGGGTGCCAGTATGGTCAGGCTTTAGTGAGGGAATTATAAAGGTTACACACCCCTGACTTTTTGTTCTTCTTTACATGATGGAAAGAAACTTCTCTTGAGCTCCTTTTTATAAAGTCAGTAATCCCATTCATGAAGGATCTAGCCTCATGATAGAACATGATAGAACCCCCAAAATCCCTCATTTCCAAATACCATCACATTGGAGGTTAGGATTTCAACAATGAAGTTTGGGTGGGCACAAACCCTTAGTCTATTGCATACTCACAAAGTGTCATTGTAGTTCAACCTTCCTTTACCAAACCTCTACGATTCTACCATCCACAAATTCACTGTTACTTTCACAAAAATGTACTCAGAATATTTGGTCAAATAAATAGAACCAGATTCTTCCTCCAACCACTTTTATTCAGAGTCAGAAACTTGAACTTTTATACACAGTGATGAAGCTATTGAAGACATTGATTAGTACTGTTTTCTGGGAATGATAGTTATGCTTTCTCTACATTTTCTGGAATGAATTTTTCTGAGACTACTTCTGATTTTTGTGTTTCTAATCATGTCTCTTTTTCCTCTTCTTTTACACCTCATTCTTACCCCACAGCCCAGATAGTATATTGAAGGATTTAGTTTTGATTGTTTGTTTCTAAAGAAGAGGCAGTGATCATCTGTCTGAAGAACTCAATATGACTTCTTTTTGATACTATAAAATCTGTCCCTCTTATAGTTAATGAAATCCCACTAATTTATTCAAAACCATACATTTTTGTTCATTAAGACACACAAGGATCTGTTGGCAGTCATTCATAGTTGACTCTGTATTAAGAGTATTCAGTGAAACAAATTTTGTATGGTCCCAAAGACTTAGAAGTCTAGTAAGGGATATGTAATGATACAGATTATATTCTGGGTTTGAAATGTCAGTTTATCATTTCCTTTTCTTTCTTTCCCCATTTAGTTGTTAATGGCAAGTGAATTTACAGGATAGGGAGTATATCTGCAATCCCTTAATTGCTTCTTTTCTTATATAATGGCATGGTTTGAGAATATTAGTAGTCAGTAAAGGTCCAGGGTGCTTGCATACCAGCTTTATGCATCTCTCTCAAGGCTGGGCCATCAGAAAATGACTACTTAGAGAAATGTGGGTGGATAGTGTGTGATTTGGACTTATGGATGCTGAAACACTACCCATACCACAACAGTAGATGCTGACCCTCTGTCTTGTTTAACAGATGGGAGAGAGAGCTAAAAGTGTATAAATATGTCTACCCAGAGAACATATCCAGATTATAATTTTGGCTCTCCCAAACTCTGCCACTAAAGGTAAATTCCCATTCTCTGCTGGTTACTGCTGCAGGTTGAAATGTTACTTTACATCTGATCTGAAATCATGTTCCTGAGGAACTCAGATAAGAATGTAGACAGCCCCTTACAAGAGTGCCTGTTGTGTTATAACATGAAAGGTTTCCTTTTATTCTATAACTACACAAGCAAGTCATAAGAAGATGCCAACTGACCAGGAATAGTATATGACTATATTTCTTATTTCTGACTTCTTAAGGAAGAATGAAGAAACTACTATGAACCTAATATTTGGGAGGGAGCTATGCTCATCACTATACTACCAATACTGCACCAAACTTAATAGTTGGTTAAACTAATACATAGGTGACTTTGGTCTCTAAGTTAGTAATACAATATTAAAGGGTGACTTCCTCATAAAACAATTGCCTCTCCACCCATAATTTTAAACTCAGCTTCTTGCTAGCACATCTCAAGATTATGCAAACTTTATTTCAGTGTAGGCAGAAGTAAAACCAAAGTGCTGGGGGACAATGTGTAGAATTAAGCAAGCATATCCTCCCTTTTCTTTGACATCTTTATAGCATAATTAGATTAAGCAATGCATACATATAAAAATAATAAGAGGGAAATAGTAACATAGGAGTAATTATAACATAGAGTGGCAATATCTATGTACAAATGCTAAACTAAATGTAACAGTGCCAAAACAATTCAACTTAAAGAAATAATCTTTATGGAGTGAACATGGCATTAGAAAGTATCAGAAAAGGAAAAAAACTATTTGACATGAAAAATAATATCAAATATAGGCACTCACATTACCTGTGTTAAGAATATAATAAGGACTATGTGACTTATATGTAGCTTTTGAAAAAATTATATATATACATATATGAGTGTTCAAATGTTTCCATTATCTAATACAGTACCAAGATAGTTGATCATATGAGAGCAAATTTTAGTACAAGGAAAAATGTCATTTATTTGAAGTAGAATCTCTCCCTGGAGAAAGAAGGCACTGTAGAAGAAACTTCAGTGGGCATTTAAACGTGTTTCTCAGTATTTACTTCTCCCTTAATATTTCATTAAATCTAGAAACAAAAGTAGAGACAAAGACTATGGAACAATGTAACTATTCTCCTGTGGTTTGGTATTGTCATGAGAGAATGAATTTACCTGTAAAAGAACAGAAATGATGCATAGATAAATCACACATGCTAAATAGTTACCTTACATTGACGATGACAGGGAACAGAAAAAAGTACAAAGATACAGTGCTATAAAATCTTTTCTTTGGCTAGCTATCCCTCTATATCCTTGTGTATTCCTTTCTATTCTTAAAGATTTTTAAAGTTGCTATTTATTTTAGAATAGTGTCTATGATCATACACAAAATTATGAACAAATTTTAATTGCTATGTTAAAAATAAATACTTATAATCAAACTCCTGGCAAATATCTTATTTGATATAATTGCTACAATTATGACATAAAATGTATTTCTCTTCTAAGTTCTACACTTATCATTACTTACAAATAATGAGATAATTTATTTTAAATTAACCTTTACACATTTAGTGGTTCTAGTGAAATATAATCACCTTATTGCTCTTTTTTTAAAATTCTAATATTGGGAGGAGCTGTTCATCATCTTCTATATGTATAGTATTCAAAATAGAAAATCAGGAAACACTGGCGAACACTCACGGGAAAGACTTTCTAAAAAGATGCATATTAGGTTTGAAAACCTACATTGAGTTATTTTTCTTAAAAGTCACTGTTTTCATATTTCACATCAATAATTTGTTATTCTCTAGAGTCTCTCAATATGCATCTTTAAATCATTCTCAGGTTCAAGGGAAGATAACAAGGTTGTTCTCTTAGTGATTTTGCTGCCCAGTGTGCTCTATTTACATTTACATGCCCTCCCTCATCCTGGAATTACTTCCTGGGTGAGAGGGTTGCTAACCTCCCAGTAGTCTGAAATATTTAAGTCATTCACTTCTGCTATGTCCAGCTGCCACTACTTCCCAGTATTAGAATACTTCCAGAATTGGCTAAGGGAAGGGATTGTCTTCTTTTTTGTTCCCTGTTAAAAGCATACTGTCTCCTCCCAAACAATTTTGTTAAGAACTGATTCTTACTCTAGGGAAATAAAAGGGAATGGGTATCAAAAATACAGAAGTTTCATTTTACTCCTCCAGACATCTTAGTTATTTTACAGCTAATATATCTAGTATATACCTACGTGTAAACTGGATTATTATATTTTTAATAATCCCTTCTTTGATTTTTACAAATCATAGGTTCTCACCATTCACATAAATTCCCAAAGCTTCCAGTAACTCCTGTTTCCAATGAGACACCAAACTGTTAGTAATCTCTTTCGAGTTGCCATCTCCTGGTCTTTTTGGAAAATTCAGAAAAGTAGGATGAGAATTTTGAGGTTCTGACATGCCCCTGCTCCACTCACCAATGAACCAACAGGTTAGAATCAAAGACTACCCTAGACACAAAGCAGTACCCTCTTGGGTTTTAGGATTTGCTGTTGAGGTCTGGTATAATCCCAAATAAATGTTAGCTGCTAAAATTTTCCAAGTCAAAATGTCTTCTTATTATATAATGAAGAACCCTCAAGGTTATTTCAGTAATTCTGCTCTCCAAATGATATGGATTTTTATCACAGACTTTCTGTAGTTACTGACTATTTGATTTTAGACTTATATTGTGCACCCATCCTAGGAACTACCACTTTCAGAATATGCGATGATCCCGGTTAGCAGGAGACTGCATTTTTTTAAAAAGCCACAAGAATTTGGGTAGTTTACTAAGTAAGTAGAAAGAAATGGATTCAAACTCTTTTCCATATACCCTGATCTTTAAACCTTAAGTTTTTTCTTTTGACTTTACGGTAATTAATCAAAACTTGCCATCCCTTGGTGGTCTCCATGGTATCTGGTAGAGTGACCAACCACCCCTGTTTGCTTAGGACTGAGGGGGCTTGCTGGATGTGATATTTTGGAGGTCCAAACTGGGAAGTTCTAAGACAAAAAAACAGGACAAGCTGACCCTCATTAAAAGTAAGATTAACAATGACTAAAGATCTAGAAGCCAAGTATCTAGAGATGGAGCCAATGAGGGTGAAAGCCTAAATAAAGGAAAGAGAATAAAGAACAAATGAGTATATCTATCACCTTAAACAACAAGCAGCAAGAATGAACAACTATTAGCTCTGAAACTATGGTGCTGTTTGATGAGGAAACACTGATGACATCTCAAAGTCTAGATTATCAAGGGAAGCAATGCCTTCCATGAACCTAAAGACCTTTGAGTAGATGTCCTCAGGAGAGCAGTCACTTCCCCAAGCTGATTCATTAGCATGAAAGGAAATTCCCAAATCAAGTGAGACCTGAGGCTCCCACAAGGGAGAACACCCTTGTAACAAAGCTTTCAAGTTGTAGAAACATGAAAAAATGACTTGGTCTGGATGAAGCATCAAGTTGGCTACTGTAGATAAACTGAGAGAACACGATAAAATATTTAAGAATTTTGAGAGTAAGTAGCTGGAATGGAATTATTTTGTCACCACGAAGCATCTCAATGTTTATGTTGATGATTTTTAAGAACATTGATATATCATGTCACAGTTTTATATAAGATTTTCACTACCAAAATTGCAGAGTGGGTGTTCTTCTGCCCAGTGCATCTGACAGAAAGAGTCTAGAAGTCATATTAATTCTGATTTAGAAAATTAATCAGTTTTATTTGACAATCTGCCATCATAGACAGACTTCCATATGCATCACCTTTTTCTACAATAAAATCAGCTTGAGTTAGTATTATTTCATCCTAGAACTAATTATTTAACCATAAAAATTCAGCCAAGTAAATCTGCTCCATTGGTGCTCTGATTTGGTTGAATCTTCTTTTTTCTTTCCCTTTGTCCCAATCCTAATAGAACTGAATGGTTTATTTAGACCACAGTATACATAGACTGCTTTACTCAAACACCAATACTGTATCAAATCAGAAAGAAAGATGAAAGGGGAATTTAAATTGGCTTATTATTCCAGGGTGGGCAATAAGTAGCTCTTGTGCATGACATTTCTGTAGGACTACCGAGTGAACATTTTTCTGAGACAACAGTGGAATGATTCACGGCTGGCGTACAGCGAGTACCCAGATGACTCCCTGGACTTGGACCCATCCATGCTAGACTCCATTTGGAAACCAGATTTGTTCTTTGCCAATGAGAAAGGTGCCAACTTCCACGATGTCACTACTGACAACAAATTACTCCGGATTTCAAAAAATGGCAAAGTGCTCTACAGTATCAGGTAAGCCTCTATTGATTATGCCTGATCACTTTTCCTATTTCTCTTCTGGCCTAGAGCTGCCTGATTTCTCAGGGCAGGATGTATGTGAATATTTGAATCTGTGGTGTCTTATTTATCATTTGAGTCTTAAAGTTGGGGAAGTCATAGAAGTCCCCATGGTCTTATTAGGGTGATTTTCCACAACAAAATATGTTTTGTGGGTAATTGATGGTATTGTATGCATACCTAAATTAATATATTTTGATTGTTTCAAAAATGAAATTGTAGATCCTTCAGTTTAATTGTCATTGAATGTATGAATGGTCATTTCAATAATTCTGTCATTTAGCCACATATACACAAAAATCCAATGATTCAACAGGGTCATCAATAGTATACTTTGAGATGGGTGAGTCATCTCTGCTTTTAACAAATATATAACCATGATCTCTTAATGATCTCTTAACTTTTCTTGGGCTTGGACTTGGTAAAGAAAATTCCTAAGATTGGTTTTTGATTTTATACTCAAATATGATTTTTTCCAGAATCTTTATTACCCCAGGCTCAAAATAATATCCTGCTTTTCTAAATTCTAATAGTAGTTTCTCTTTCACTATGTGAGGCTCTTATTTCTTTCTGCCTTATATTTTGGCTATTGCTGCCTATGAGTAAAACATAAGAACATGTATTTTTGGAATCAGAGAGAGCTAAAATCAAACCCAAGCTTTGGCACTTATGAAGTTATATGACCTACAACACTCGGTTACTTTAATTATAAAATGAGAAACACTATATTTATAGAATCTCTGAGTATTCTTATGAGAATGAAAGATGTAGAGGTCAGCAAATATTTTCTTTTAAAGGTCAGATTATAAATATTACCATTTTTCAGGTTAGATTGCCTCTATCATAAGTACTGACCTCTTTCATTTACTCTTTCATTTATGGAAGCAACCATAGACAACATGCAAACAACTGGACATGGCTTGTTTCAGTAAAAACTTTACAAAAATGAGGGTTTTAAGAAAGAGTAACATAGTCGAGGTGAATTTGATCAAAGTATGTTATACGCATGCATGTAAATACCACAATGAAACCTATTTGTGCAATTAATTTATGCTAATAAAAATTGAATTAAAATTAACTCTATTTACAAAAACAGGTGGTGAAAATAAAAAACAGGTGGTGGCAGTGAATTTGGTCCTTCTGCTATAATTGGCCACAGTATATAAAACTACCTGTAACAGTACCTGACACAGAATACATGGTCAATAAATAAATAAAATGATGGCTGTATTTTATGATTTTTCCTTTTTAATGTTTTTATTAGTATATTATAGTTTTATAGGGGGGTTCATTGTGACATTTCCATATATGTATATAATGTACCCCAGTTTGGTTCTTACCCTCCATTATTCTATCTGTTTCTCCTCCCCCCTCTTAAAATGATTTTGACATGTTTCAATGTTCCATATTCATACATGTGTAGAAAACATATCTACCATATTCACCCTCCTTTACCCTCTTCATTTACCCTCCTGATCCTCTTAACATGACTTGTTTTACATTCCTGTCCTTTCTTATGTAAGTGTCTATTTATTGTTCAGTGGGATTTTGCCTTGGTGTTTTGCCTGTAAATATATTTCACTTTAATCAGTTTACCCTTCTTTACCCTTTTCTCCCTACCTCATACTGTTCAATAGTTTCAGTGTGTTTCCTTGCATCTTGTTCCTACACAGATGTGATGTATTTCAATATTATTCATTCTCTATCATTCTCTTCTTCTTTCCCTCCACTCCTACTCACCTCTAAAAGTTCCACTATTGCAAACATGTTCTGTATATGTATTTTTATAATAATCCTTGTATGTATATATAATATTCCTTATATTTGTATTTGAATCTATCTTCCACGTAAGAAAGAAAACATGCAACCTTTGTCTTTCTGAACCTGGCTTACTTCATTTAACATGATGTTCTCCAGTCCATCCATTTACCTGTTGTATTTTTAAATCAATGTTCTTTTAAAATAGTAAGCTCTTTGAAGCCAAAATACTTGGATTTTGCCTTTTTGCACCACCTTCCAAATAATTAGTATGGTGTATTGTATACAAGAGGTATTTAGTACACTGAATAACTATTGGTATTTTAAAGGTCCTTAATAGAATACCTCTTTATCTCCAGTTTTATTAACCCAAAATGTGGACAGGTAGTATTCTTGCAAATACTAAATATCCAGAAGTTTGCAAACTCATCCCCATCACAACCTCATTTAACAATTCTCTAAATAATTTGGTTGCCTGGTGCATATTCAATTCCTTTACAATGGTTTTATTGTATTTCAAATTGCTATAAGTTAATAATATGAGGGGGTTTCTTTGTGGTAATTCCAAACATGTGTGCAGTATACTTTGAATAAGTTCACCCCCTCCATTATATTCCTATTTCCTTCTCTCCTCCCCCCTTATTCCTTTCTTATACTTAGTAATTTCATAGCTTGCTGCTGCCTTATAGCCCTTATGTCTTGTGTAATAAAAGAGGCTGATTATTTATAAAATGTGTCAAAGCTACTGCTTTCACAAAGAACCAGGAAACTTCCTCCAATGCTCATTCCATTTTTAAGGAAACAGAATATTCCACATGGTAATTCATTTGTTTGGTGTAAGATGAGGTATTGGGCGTGACCTAAGTTGATGTGACCTGATGAAATGGGACATATGTAGAGCATGGTGCTGGGAAGGAGAGTTATAAAAAGCAACCCAGTATCAGCTGCTTCTGCCAATCCTCTGGGCTTTGGGTGGTGTTTGCTCTAGTAAATACCTGGCATGTGCACTGCTGAAATAAAACCGGATTGTTGTTGTTGTTTCCCTTCTGTTCTATAAAAACCTTTCTGTTCTAGAACAGCAAAAGATATGGGCTCCCAAGACCAAGAGAAAGAAGCAATTCTTGTATCTCTGGTTCCCAAGTGTAGCATGTTACAGGCTCTGAAATTCCCTAATAAGCGTGAATTGTTTGGGGTTTGTTTTATTGGCAAGCTGTGGGGATTTTCTAAAATCAGAGGAAAAACCCTTGGTAAGAGAGAACTGGAGATGTCACTTTAGGGATACACAAGCTGTTAGTAGATTTGAGTTGCAAGAATCTATTTTCCTAGAAGATTTTCAATGAGCCAGAGCTTAGTAAGATGTGGCCATTGCCCTGGAAGGGTTCCAATTTAGTAAAGCAGGTGAACACATGATAAATTATGTAATGGTAATAAATAGGAATAAAGAGAAGAAAAATGGTTCTAATTTTACAAATTAATTGTGCAATCAAAATATTGCTACAATTTGTGGTCAGTATCCTACTTCTATCTGAGTGATTGGACACAATTTAACAACAGGCCCAACTAGTAATTAGGGCTAATATATGCCCAGCTGAAGATGGACTCGAGTCTAAGGCCAAGTGGGCTATAGATTTTGGTGTCTTGAATGTGCTGAAAAGCCCTTACTAAAGTTCCATTAGGAAAGACAATCCCTGAACATTATTCAGATTTACAATGCAAATACCCTGGGAGAGGGAACCTATTGGCCTAAGTTCATGCTAAGCTGCAAAGAGTTGATAATGAGACTTATTTTCAATAGTATGCTTGATGTGCATGAAGAATAGTGAGAACAAGAATATTGAGTCCCTAAGAGGAGAAATGGGAAAGGATGAATAAAGGTTGGGAAAGATACAAGGAGCTAGAAGTGACAGACAAACTCATGAATTGTCTCCACACTGCATAATTAAATAATTACATAGCTAAATTACTTAAGCATTTGCTCCACATTAAAAAAATGTAACATCCAGTGTTGAGATTTTATATTTAGCTGAAACCCATACCAAATACTGACCGTATTTTATCTAGGAAAGAATACATGCTTTTCTCAGCTTCCTAGAAGCTCTAGAGGTAGAATTAATTTTGCATGTTCAAAGCCAAAAGCTTTGAAGGCCAAATGAAACACAAAGCAAACTATCTGGTTCCTTGATTTCATAACAAGCTGAATCACAGTTCCCAAGATTTTTACATCCATTTCCCAAATGGTACGGGCCTGAAAGAAGGAGTAGTGGACCAGAACTCTGTAAGTACACTCGTACTCAAAAACTCCTGATTCAAACATTTGGGGCACTTGAATAAAATTCAAGCAAATCATTTAAATAGGAAAGAAAAGTATTAGCAAATCTTTATCCAGCTATGCAGGACATAAGGCACTTTTTGTTGATGCAAGAGTGTCAAATTCATTTCCATCTATTTCTCCTCAGATTTCTTCCTTAACGTTAATTTCCCTAATATGTTTTATCATACTCTCTGATTTTTCTAAGTTTTTGTTGACTTGCTCCATTTTTAGCAGTACTGGGATTTGCCTCTGTACTTGCTATAAACATACTGTGCTATTTGAGCCACACCCTCAGCCCTTTTACACTTTGTTTTTCAGTTAGAGTCTTGTGATTTTTTCCTGGGTGGGTCTCAGACCATGATCCTCCTACCTTTGCCTTCTGTAGCTGGAATTACCAGTTTTTGTACCGCCATTACTAGCTCATTTGTTGAAATGAGTCTTTCTGGCTTTTCCCCCAGCCGGCCTCGAACTATGATCCTCTAGCTATATGCCTCTGGAGTAGCTGGGATTATAGACCTGAGCTACCACTTCCAGCTCTTGACTTTCTCCATTAATTATTGATCATCCTTGACCAAAGTATAAACAAGGACACACATCTTGCTTTGTACACCCTCTCTAGAGAAAATTAAATTCTAAATTTAAAATGCTTGAATCCATAGTGGAATAATGAGGTGATACCTGAGTATTGTGGATGCTATTATTCAAAAAATAGTTGTTGCATTTAGTATAATGAATTGGAGTAAAGGTCAGTACATAATCAGAAATGGTGCACAAGCTGAAAGGTAAAAGGAGGAGAGCATTTTTGCAGAACAGACACTTGTCTCCTATGTCCACTGTGTCTTTCCTGATATTTGTTTTATTCCTTTAAATTCCATGACTTCTGAGAGTCCTCCAATCCATAAATAACTCCTCCACCAAAGCATATCACCAAGGCATCTGCTTACCTCATCATCACCTTTATCTGAACCGAAATCTATTTCTTTATGGCATCGGAGGTGATATGCTTGCTAATCCTTTGTGATTCAGTTCATAATTCCAGGTGTTGATGATTCAGTTTTCTGCTTTCCCAGTAGTGTTTGAGTTAGGATAGAGAACCCATGGAGATAGACATACCTTCTCCCTCTGATGATAGATTACAGGCACCATTGAAAGTAGGTGGAGTGTGGCTTTCTGGACAGACATCCAACCGTGCCCCCCAAATAATCCCATCAAATGACCAACTCTATTCACATACATTAAAGGCCAACATTTCCCACATGGCCTCTCATTCTTGACTCATCCTACAGTCTGATGCAAGAACTTCAAAAGATTCTAACTTTAGTGCTAGAGTGAATTTTTATGAAGTAAGAAAAAAGACCATTCTTTAGATATCAGAGCTAAAAATAAATGCACAGTGAACTGAGACCTACCTAAATGTTACTAATGGTGATGCTTTAGTTAATCTTACTTTCACTTTTGATGAGACAGAAACCTGTAATTTCTGTTATAAGTCAGCTATGAAAACGTGTATTCTCTTCTCTCTGTGCATATTTGGACCACGTTTATCTTTCTATCTCACAATCCAGGAAATATTACATTCATTTTTCTAACTCTGTGTCCAAATCCTCATTAGTTTTGTGACTTGACTTAATGCAGTAATTAATGACTATAACATAAGAACCCACATCAGAATTAAACAGTGAATCTTCAGGGAAGTGCTGGGAAATGCCAAGGAAAGCACAGTGATTCTGTTCTTAGAGGAGAGTAAGTTTGGAAGGATGGGAGGATGGGAGGAGCTGGCATGCCCATTCACTGGTGATTTATCAGGAGCTGAGCTAAGCAGGGTGAAGGGGTAATTTTGCAGAGGGGTTCTCAAAAGTAGTGTGGATTGAAAGTAGGAGCATTAAGATCTAGAAAGTGTGTTGTGTACATGAAAGTGTCTCAAAATGTTCTGGAATTGTTGAGCTCCCGAGTTCATTAATACAAATACACTATGGAGAATAATATTGATTCAAAGGCAACCGAGTAAGGATTTTGTTTGAAGGTAAAGAGGGAATTGTTTGAGAAAAAAGAGGGAATTGTTCAATGAAATAGATGGAAGCTGGCATGACCATTTGTCCTTGACCATTTACCTGATTGGACGGGATTTTCCTCCTTTTGGAAGGTCAGATTTTGCTCTTCCAGTGGTGGTACACACAGCATACTGAGATGGTAGCCCAGGGCAATGTGAGTTCCACACTTCCTTCTAACATCTACTGTACCCTCTAGGATCACAGAACAGCCTCTCCAGCACCACCAGTCATCATTTTGTCTAGATTTCTTTTATAAAATGGGACTGAACCAGGAGAGTGGACAAAGTCTAGGGCTTCTTTTAGCTTTACTCAAAATGACCTTCTCCTCATTTCTAAATCACAGAACTCCTTCCAAATGAATAAAAATAGTTCTTCATGAATTTGGAGCCAACAAGTATAGATTCTGAATTTTAAGGTGCCTGTCTCAAGCTACTTTTGGATCTTGGAACTCTTAAGTCCCCAAATAAACATCCAACTCCTGAGGAGAGGAACCTGGTTCAGGAGTGGTATAGGGAAGATCAGACTACTTGTGGTTTAAGAAGTGCCTTAAAACATTCACCATATTGCTTACACAATGACAAATACTCAGCATTGAGCTTCCTATTGAGAAATTTTCCAGTCACACAGCAGATCATTTGTACCCTCTCATTCAATCAGTAGGAGTAACCAGGAGATATTATTCTAAACATGTTAATGTTTACATATGTTTAGACAATTATACAGAGATAGATAACTGGCTCACAAATTGACCAGCTATGTAGGCTAAGCAAGTCACAATGTAGATTTGAAACAGCAGAGTTTAAATACTAGCCTGCTATTACTCATTACCTAGATTTTCTTGTGACAGGAAGCCAAAGGAGAAATCAGAGGTTCTGGTGGGGCTGCTTAACTTATGTTGACACCAGCTTCTTCTTGCTCCATGCTGCTGCTTTTGAAAGTCTCCCGGGATGACATTAATCACAAAATAAACATGTATAATATCAGTGTGTCTCTTATGAGACACATGAATTGCTTTAGTGTATTCTCATAGCATATACTCCAAAGGAAAAGCTCTTCATTTTGAAATGGGAAAAATTTGTTCAAGGCAAAGCCAAATACTCTCTCTAACAAGTCTCTTCTTGCTTGCAGCATTTAAAATTACAAACCAACATCTGTACTGTGTAGGGCACATTGATCATTGGACAGTCATTGAAAGACAGATAATTAAGTACATGTAAATTATGTGAAGTTCCGCATGTGACACACCATCAGAGCAAAGCCATCCCCCACCTGAATGGTCAGTTCTTAAAGGAGAATAAAGCAAAAATTTGATGTTTCATTTTAGTAGGAATATTTTGCTAAATTTGAACAGTCAGATGAAAGCTAGAAAGCAAAATATGAGATAGAGAATCAAAGACAGAATATTATTTGGGCAGGGCAGATGTTAGCTTTGAGGGTGAGGAAGAAGTCAATTAACCTTTCTCTTAACTGTAGTTTTTTCAGTTCCTCATTCATATTAAATGTTCAATGAATCACTCAGTCACATCTATGTTTGCTAAAGGGTAAAGGAAAATGAGGAGATAGTTCTTCCATCCTTCCTAATCTAGGCACATAGATATTCTGTATTCACTATCAGTACCTTCCAGGTTCCACACACCTTCCACACTTGGTCCAAAGCAGATAGATGCTCTCCTTACTTTGGCTTTCCTCTACTGGGGACGTAAATAGCTCATGAAGGAGATGACAGCTGCATCTATTTTCAGATAATGGTTTAATTGGTATTGGGCCACCCCTTTTAGCTGCTGGTTAACAGTAAACTAGAGGAGGGGGAGTTATGCTTGCTTTTAAGTGTTAGCCAATCGGAGATGGATTATCTACCAACTGATCAGAACTTTGTTCTCTCTCC